ATTTCTCTGACGAACAGAATTCCTTAGGGGGTCCAATGGAAAATACCCCTGAAACTGACAATTTAGGGATTTGAAAGGCTTAGATTAGGTACTAAAATACAGTAAATTATGTATAATTTATATAATCCTATATTGGATTGTAACTCTGATGGGGGGTGCGGTGGGGGAGGTCTAGCCTTTGCTTTCTTCTCCCTCTAGCATAATGTTTTGTAATTTGTACTCAGTAAATGAAAAAAAGTGACTGACCCTACAGTACAAACAGGATTTATTATACTGTATGTTGTATTTTACACTCTGAAGTTACATTAACTAATGTTGACATACAATAAGATCTAATGTGTTTGTCTTATTCCTCATTCAATTTATGACGTCGCTAATGGAACCCATTAGTCATGGAATGTGTGATGATAGACACTTTGTGTTTTTTTTTCTTGTGTAAAAACTACAATATTTGGCTATTGTGTACATAGGAGGATAGATGTGTGTGACACTACCCTAGTTGCCTTTAAAGTAATATTTTTTGTTTATATTGTATTGAGTAGGAAGCATCCAGCCAAGCTACAATGTAACCTAATCTAATCAATGTGCAACCCATGGTCATGTGATGCCAATAGTACTGAAGGTGCTGAAATTTCTGAGAATACAGTATTAAAGAGGAAATTCCAGAAAATTCTATTTAAATTTAAAAATATTGGAATGTTTATTGGAAGTATCTAATCGGTGGTTAATACAGTACGTTATTTTTTTTTCTCTCTAAAAATATGGTAATCTCAATTAAAACTCAATTTTGAATGTTCCTCTTCGCCATATTTTTTGTAAAATTTGTTATACTATATGTACAGTATCATATTTAAGACATCCTGTAATTGGCTTTTTGCTGTTGGATGAGGTTGGAAATAATAAATAATAATATAAAATAAAATTTTGTCATTTGTTTATTTAATATTTATTTGTTATTTATTTATGCACCAAGAATTGTCAATTTTGAATATCACTGTTGTACTTGTAGTTTGACAATCCTTTAAGCACTAGCATATACCCGTGCTCCGCACGTTGTTGAATGTGTGGGGAAAGGTGGACATGTATATTACCGAATGTTATGGGAAGTCCTAGGGCGGTCAATATAACATTTAATTTGTCATTTGAAAGGATAAAATTTAAATTTAAGTTTTATGACACTAATACGAGGTCAAATCAATTGACAGACATTATACTGCTGTACAAACATTCTTAAATTTAGAAAATTCAAACATCATTTAAAAATGTTAATTTTTATTGGAAGTACAATAGTTTGTTCGTTCATGTGAGTCCATAATTACAGTAGGTACACAGGTGGTATGCAGCGCTTTTAGTGAATGATTGCGAATAATGGATTATTTGTTGTTATCAGTTGACTGGAACAGTCATAGCAGGGTCACCACGTGCAGGTTAACAGCATGACCCCCAATATACCTACATGTAACCGGTGGATTTGATTTTTTTTCTCTAAAAATAGGATGGTCAATTATATGACATTCAATTTTGTCATTTGAAGGGATAATATTATAGTCTTATGACAATGAGAGATTGAACCAATATGTTTTCAATAATTCACAGACATACGGTACACTACAGTAAAAACATTCTTAAACTGTTTGATTATTTGTTGAATTAATTTGTGGTTAATACATTAATTGTTTTTTCCTCTAAAAATATGATAGTCAATTATTTCATTCAATTTGTCGTATAAAAGGATAAAATTATAGTCTTATTATGACACTGAGAGAGGTCAAATCAATTTGTTTTCAATAATTGACAGACGTAATTATTATTATTCTATAGTACAACATTCTTAAATTTCCAGCAAATGCAATATCCTTCCTTCATTCGTTTGTTCCTAGACACTGGGTCTACGACATTTATTGATCTTAAATAGGCCTCCATCACTTACAAAAGAAATATACAAAAACTTAAATAAATGTAACTGAATTGACATGCTTGTTTCTGATTTTAAGAAAGTAAAATTATTTTTGGAAGGAAATTTATGATACAGAAGTGGTATTACTGGTACAGTAGAAATATCTTTATAATTAATTATGTTGCGTTAAATTTTCAAACATTTTTTCTAATGTCAATAAGTAAAGCATTATTTGAAGTATTTTTTCCATATTTTTATTTTTATGTAGAGTTTATTCTTTTACTGTATTAAAAAAACATGTTTTAAAAGATCCGTATGATCATTATCATCATCATTTCAACAACAGGAATTCCCTATAAGAGTCCTATATTTAAGCAGTTCCTAGCTGTGCTGATAGAAGAGGTCAGGTTGGGGTCAGAATCTATAGGAACTGAAGTATTCTACCATAATAGCGCAGGGGTGTATCATCCAGGATTTTTTCTGGGTGGGTCGTGATCATAAATTTTTGGACCTTTTCAGTGGGAGACAGGAAAATCGATTACAGCGCCACCAGCTTAAAGCGTATGGCAGGCTGAGTTTCAGAATTGCTGGAATAGAGATACAGTAGATTACTGTACGTCATGCAATTGGCAAGATCTTGCTGGTACCTCATCAATGCTTTTTCATTTATGTCATTGTGAAAAGGCCCTAGAAAAAAATGTTTTTGGAAGAAAATGTGCACTTTTGAAAATTTTTTTTTGGTTTGGTGGTGGGGGGAGGAGGTAATTCGACCTTCCCGACCCCCCTCTCCCCCTTGCATACACCCATGTAGTGAATTTTATCATTTTGGTGGTGTTTGCTTGACAAAGGGAGTTTCGACCAAAGCATAGATTCCTCTTTTTGTGGGTCTGATCTTCATCATACCAATCACTATTATCTGCTACAGTACTACAACTGTACTCTACTGCTCCCTGACATATACGGTAGGAAGCATTGGCCTCTTTTTTTTCTGCCCATAAACACAAAATTTTGTAAACTTTTCGGATGTTTAAATCACACCCAGAATTGGTAGGCCGGAGACAAGCATGTTACAAACAAGTCCTCAAGTGCAGAGAAATCGTAATTGTTTAAACTATCTGGAAAACCCATCCTTTGGGACACCCTTTTATTATTAAGGGAACACTTTCTTGGCCTCAAAACGAGGCAAACTGTGGCAAAGAAAAGCCAAACTAGTCTCTTGTCTCAAATCATGTTTCGAAGATAATGGCCAAAACATGCTTTTAAACGCTGTATTAATATTCTAAAAATCATTTTTTTTTTTGAGTAGTGACTGGTTTGGCTTGTCTTTGCCACATATCTTTTATTGCAGCCAATCCCTATTTGGTGGACACCCCTATTTAAGGGGACACTTTATTATTGCTGTAGGTGTCCCCTTAATAGGGGTTCCACTGTATCTGAAGATCAAGCTTTATCTACAGTACATCATTCAACTTTAATTTAATCAAAAGACATGGCAAACCAAACATCCTGAATATTACACTTCGAACAGGATTTAAATTAACAAGATTTCACAATTCCAGAAACTGTTTACATTGCAAGTCAAGCTGTATTGTGTGCTTACAGCCGGCAATAAGCATAAGACAGCTCTTTATAATATTCGTCTGTAAATGAAACTGAAAATTGTCTTTATTCATTTCAGCGCAATATATAAATTTTACATTTGGTTACTTTATCTTGTACAGTATACCTTTGCCTTTGAGGCATACATAACGCAATAATTACAGTATCTCTATTGAAACTGATTTTTTTTTTAAATTCTTTCAAGCACAATATAAATTTTATATTTGGTTTTACTATATCCTGTATACCTTTCCTTTCAAAATGTGTTAACTGAGGCATACACACAGTAATTATTGTCTCTATTGAAACTGACATGTTTAATATTCATTTTAGTACAATATTAAATTTTATATTTGGTTACTAATGAGGAACACATGCTGTATGGTATGTTCACACACACAGCGTAAGGCTGGTGTAACATATGCCTTGTGTATGTGTGAACTAGAAGCGTTATTAAAGCCACCCACAACGCCACGTCCGTGGCATTATTAACGCCACCTGCAAACCCCAGATAAGTTAACGCATTAGAGCTAACGCCTGTAATGCTCGATTGAGTTTGACCTCAGGTCAAGTCATTGACCAATCATGATTAGTTTTGCAAAAAACAAACAGGCTACTCCGAAAAGAAATTGCACGGCCAGTCGTGTTCATTCACGGTGTTCTTCAAGGTTTTTTAAAGTGTATTGTCCTAATATTGGGAAGTCTATTAATTTCCATTGTAACATTGAACAATGCCTAAAAATAGACCTCATTGGAATTTAGGGCAGTCCTGAATTTTGGGATTTAATGCCAAAAAATATCCATCCTCAGATGGTGGCGGAGAAGTTGCGAAGAATTGATAATGACCAAAGCCAAACAAGCAATTATGATTTCCGTGTCTAAGCCTACATATACACCTCATGAAACTTTCTTCAATAAAATGTAGTAAAAACCATCACCCATCAACAGTGTGTACAACAAACACTAACACTGCAGCTGTTTTGTAATAGTCTTCCAATCATCAACATGATGCCAGCGTTAATATAGCGAACGCTGTTTGTGAGAAAACTTGGGAATTTAGTCCGTGGGTTAGCTTAGCCCTGCGCAAGCTACGCCAGCCTTTACGCCGTGTGTGTGAATATGAATATATACCGCATACAGTAATTGTAGGATTGCATTACAAATTACAAGCAGTGGATTTTAGGTAGGGGGAGGGGTGGTTACTTACAGTATAGGGTTATACAGTAGTACCCTCATGAGCATGGGTGTTGACTGGGAAGTGGGGTGGGGGCGATGACAGCGCAAATTAGCTCCACTAGTAGAGCTAAAATGATTTAATTCCTCCTTCTCAATTTTCGTGGTTCCCTGTTTGTGCTATTTTATGTGCTGTTCTCTTTACCTAAGAACTATTGAAAAATCATATAAAAAATATTCACAATTTTTTAAAGATAATTTAGAAGTTTAATTTCTGATTGATTGTTAACTTGTTGTATTAGAAACACAATATTTTGTTTTTATTTTTTAGGATCAACTATAAGCAACAGTGTGTTTTGTTCTGTAACACGCCGCCCTTTGATGCACCAATCATGGAAGGTCCACGCTACATGGGGTACACTGCAGACCAGGTTGCTTCCAAGATGGCAGAGGTTAGTACATGAATTCTCTTAGGTAATGATTATAAGCAATGATGGTAAATTGAATATATACTCATACTGTATATTACCAATAGGGAAATAATGTATCTATGAATTATTATTAATGGGTTGCTATAGTATATCAGTAGGAAAGTGATCTATAGGTTAGCTCATGAATAATGCATTTTTGATTATAAATATTTATTAGCAATGTTTAATTGATTTCTATAGTGTATCAGTAGCAAAGTAATCTATTAAAGTTAGCTCATGAATAATTCATATATAATAAATATTTATTGGCAATGGATATTAATTGATTGCTACTGTACATCAATAGGAAAGTATAGAAATTCATATTTTTAACAAATTTTCATATAATGTTTTTTTAGCAATGGTTGTTAATAATTAATTGCTATCAAAGAGGAATACACTAAGTTTGGTACATGATCATTCATAGGCGACGATGATCATATTACCAACTTTGGTGGTTAATTGAGGACTAGCTGTGTCAATAAAAGAGCACTCCAATGGATGGACTTTATACAGGAAACATGACATCAAAATGATTAGAAATTTTATATGGAGAAACACGATGAACAATTTGAAAAACTGATATAACAATTTCTGCTAACATGCACTTACTTATTAAACCAGGAATAAATTTGGATGTTCTATTCTGAACAGACGGAGAGAGATTTGATTCAGAATTTTTTTTATTTCAAAGTGTAATGATTTTTACTATATAATATTAATTTTTAGTATTTTTTAATTATTCAAGTTCTGTATTAATCAACAATTTTGTTATTTTGTTTATTTGTTATTTTGTATTGATATAGCACCTTTCCTTTAGTTTACAAAACACTTTCTGTTGTCATTGGAATACACATGTGTTGCTGCAATATTAGTGCAGTAGCAGACAACCTTACCAGGTACCAATTTATTAAATCTTGGGTTGATAGAAGCAACAAAGATAAAGTGCCTAACTCAAGGGCACAAGCTAAGTGCACTGCAAGGGGTTGAAAACCCAACCTCAAGGCTGGGAAACCAAATTGTTCCTGTGTGCCAAACCACTTCCTTTTAATAACAGTTAATTTTTAAGATAGCAACATATATCTGACAACATAATTATTATAACTGATAATTTCTAACCTATAGCGTGGTGTGAACTTATCAGTGGTCAGTCCAAGGAAGCTGTATCCATTGCAGCGCCTGTTCGAGCGTGCCTTGGGGGATGTTCAGATGTCCTCTATGAAAGATTATTCAGTTGACCCTCATCACATGGTACTACTAAGGGGGTTTCAGTTAAAAGGTGAGTTTTTAGAATCTTGTTGGATGAAATTGATATCTTGCAGATGATGACATTTTGTGAGAAGACATTTTTGTATCTTGCGTTCAAGATGATTCTATCTGGTAAGATGTTATTGTCTTGGAGATATCGCTATGATGTGCGATGCTCCTGTCGTGTAAGAATTAAAATGTTTATAGTGCAACACTACACATTGCCATCTTTGAGATGTTGCTATCTTGTAGATGTTATTATTTTGTGAGATTTTGCTACAAAAACCTTGTGAGATGCTGCTATTGTGTAAGATGTTGCTACAGAACCTTGTGGGATGTTTCAATCTTGTGAGATGTTGTTGTGTGAGATGTTGCTATCTTGCAGGTTTTTGCTATAATGTATGTTACTATCTTGTGAGAGATGTTGCTACTGTATATCTACATGAGATGTGCTATCTTTATGTGTTGAGAGATGGTATATATATTTTTTGAAATGTTTACTGTGATGCATTTTACTATCCTTTGTGAGTTGTTGATATCTTGTGAGTTCTTCCCATCTTGTGAGATGTTGGTATCTTGTAAGGTGTTGTTATGTAATATACTGCTCTTTTGCGAGATGTTGCTATCTTGTGAGATGTTCCTGTTTTGTTAGATATTACTATTTCATGAGGTGTTGTCTTACGAAATGTTATCTTTTGAGATTTGGCTGTATATTGTGAGGTGGTACTATATCTTGTGAGATGTTGCATATCTTCTGGGATGTTTCTATTTTATGAGATGTTGCTATATTGTGAGATGTTGAGTGTCCTGTGAGAAGTATATTTTTAAATATGCTACAGTATTTTCTGAATGTTCATTGCATGTTCTGGCCACTGCTGTATTGCAATATTTTCTTTGCTGGTTACTATGCTTTTTGTGGCTAAATGTAAGGCTTGAATACAGTATATATATTCAATACATTGATTGAATGTAAACTTGTGCTGTCGTCACTGGAGATAAAATTTACCAACTCTGCCAAAATAAATAATACTACCACCAGTATAATGAACTCATATACTAATTGCTATTCTGTACTTCATTGCATGTATTCTCACCCTACTTCGACGCTATTGGTTCTGATAATGTTAGATTAAAAATTGATTTTTTAAACATAAAGCAAAATAACATGGTTCCCCAAAGATGTACTGTCCCTTGCAAAATATCCCCACCTCCCCCCCCCTCCCCACCATAAAAAAAAAAAAAAAAAATTGTAGGTATCACTAAAAATAATTTTTAAAATTAATTTGCTTAATATTTCAATGTACAGTAACATAAAATGATCATAGAAATTTGTGTATTTAAAAAAATGTTTAACATATAATTTTACAGCAAAAAATGGTAGGAACACTTCACTGGAACTGTTTATTATGTTTTTTTTTTCATCATTATCCATTATAAAAATAAGGGTACACATTTTTAAAATTCAATAATTTCTGTGCTTAAATTAATTTCAAAATTATATTTTTATGATTTTTTTTGTTGTGCTTGCCTTCCAATCACAGACTTTGGGCATAATCATGTTAACACGTTGACTGCCAGACCTTTTTTAGGTCCCTTCCCTTGTGTGGCAGAACAAGTATACATGTAGAGACATACTTCTATCTAGTCATACATCATCAAAATGGTGTGTCTAATAAATTGGCGGGAAAATATTAGGGACAAGAAAACTCGTCGCTGGCACTGGGACAGCATTTGTTGTTATCCCTGCCAAGTGCGTGTTTTCTCGCCTGTTTTCTGCATGGGTTGGTATATGTTCAGAGGGCGCTCACTCGTGCAATTGATTGTACTGCCGGCAAGATAACACGACAAACATACATCTGTTATTTGTACGTTATTGTCTAGGTGTATGTTCCCCGAACTACCAGCCGTTTAGTCTGTGATTCTGTAATGTATAACAAAGAAGTAATAAACGCTACAGCAGATTGTTACCCCAATTTTGACGAGTATAGTCGTCGCTAGCAGCTTCAGCAACACCCTGTTTGACAAGTATAGTCGTTGCTGGCAGCTAATGTGTTGATGTGAGAATTTTTGTTGACAGCGCCTAAAAATATTTTCGCTGTCTAATTGTTGAAAATTGCGCTTAAACCTTATTCACAAGACGTACTAAATTTTTTATAGGACTTAATAACAAGATATTTATACCAAATCACTGTCATCTACAAATGGGTGAATTAATGTAAGCCTAATATAATTGATGTGCAGACAGAAGAAATACTGTAAGCGCAATGCTACAGTAAAAGATAATTTTCACCCTATTAGCATGTGCATAGGTTAATTTAACCTTAAATTTTTCAGGAGTGTTCAGGCCACCGAGATGTCTGTTTTTCGTACTACATAGATATGATATAGTGTGGGGGCGCTTGCTAATTTTTTCACAGTAATAGTCCTGTGTATTTTGTCTCGTGTAAATCGAGTATTTGTTTATAGAGCGCCATAATGTTTAATTCATTTAATGTGTAATATCATCAGCTAATTTTTCGGGACTAGTTGTAAATGTTGCCCTCTATAGTTTAGTATAAAACATGTGATAACTCTGAAACAAGGCCTTTGATTTTTGATTCTGGATTGTCTGCTGTTGCTCTCAACAGAACAACCCTCGCACATCAGTATGGACAGTCAAAATTCTCAAGCAGGGAAGACTGTAGCCACTACCCCTGTGGCCAAAGTGGCACCAATGAGCGGTACGGTGGCCAGTAGTGTAAATACCAATAGCAGTACAGCAGGGTTCACAAAGCCCTCTCCAACTTTAGCAGGTTCGCCATTTTTATTTTGTTGAGTTTATTTTAAATCATTTTATTTATACCGATTCTGTGTTTAAACTGAATGTATACATGCCTGTGTGATTGACTGCTTGCACTATCTATATTGACTGGAGTTTTTATCAATATCTCATACATTAATCTGAGGTTATTCCATAAGGGAAATTAACCAGAATTTGTAAGCAAGCACACAAAACTAATTGGTAATATATCATTAGTTATGAAAACTTTAAATTATTTTTTCTGTATATAATACACAGATTCAATACATATCAAAAGTTCCCAAGTCTACTGCCCTCAATCTTATCATTCTATTTCCTCATGTACATTGCTGTATTGTGAAAATTAATATTCTGTTTTCATTTTTCTATGCACTTTTTTCATGCCACTATGTTCTTGAATCCCTTTACATTTGTCTTGATCTATTTCTTATCCAGCAAATTAAGCCCTTTTCCGTTTACCTTTAATACAAAAGTCTTGTTTTATTTTGCTTGAAAGAAAATCATGCTCCATTAATTTTTTTGTTTATTTATAAAACAATTTTGATTGCCATTTGTATGATCATTTATTAAAACACAAGTTCAAAGTTTCTTATATTCTTTTTCAGGAGGGGGAACACAGGTGCTAAGCCCCAGACCTGTAGGTGGTGGGGGTCATATTGGTATTGGCTCACCCTCATCTCAAGTTACAAGTGGATTTAAAGTACCTGGAAGCAATGCTTCAAATCCTGGTAATGGATTACATAATATTATTAATGACAATGATATTAATAATAAATAATATTTTAATATGAATGAAATGTAATGATATCGAAATAAAACTCCGGAGTAAATATAAAAAAATTAACAATGAATCTTGCATTATTCTAACACTACTGTATAACACCTATTAAGGGATATCCTGTGGACCATAACGGCACAGATGGTGGTGTGAGTGGATTAGCAACTAATCTGTATACCGGGATACATTCCGTTCATCTTTTTTTTTATCAATGTGTACAAAAGATTGACATGAGTGTTGACTCACACAGAACAGCTTAAAAGTCTCTCCCAAAAGTGTTTTATAAACCTCAAGATGAAACACAGGACAACATCAATTGAAATCTGAGCTATGAGAGTTAAGATGAGGTTTATAATAGGCATATTATTTACCTATCATAATTAATAATATGTATGCATTAACATTTAATCTATGATTTTTTGTTCAAGGAATTGTTAATGCAAACAACAAGATCCCACAATTTTCTCAAGGAAATATGCAGATGAAGACAGCTAATCAGGCAGTTGCCAAAGTTACACCACAGCAAGTTCAAACACAAGCGAGTTTGACCACAGTGTCAAGCCAACAGTTCAGCACGTATCAAACACAACCAGGAGTCGTCTCGCAGCGTATAAATACAACGATGAATAACCAAGTCTCAGCTGCAAATCAAATGCCAAGCAATCAGGCACTGGTCAACCAAATGACAGGAAATCAACAATTGACCAATCAAATGCAAAGCAATCAACAATTGACCAACCAAATGCAAGGAAACCAACAGTTAACCAGTCAGATGCAAGGAAATCAATCGCTAACAAATCAAATGCAGGGTAACCAATCTCTGCCCAATCAAATGCAAGGAAATCAATCATTGACCAATCAGATGCAAGGAAATCAAGCATTATCCAACCAAATACAAGCAAATCAATTATTATCAAATCAAATGAATCAGACACTAGGCAACCAAATGGGGAATCAAGGACTTACAAATCAAAATATGATGATGAGTAGATCGACAGCATTACAAGGAAACCAACCTTTGACCCCATCAGGACTTGTAAAACCTATGGCAAACACAAAGGGGCAAGGAATTGTACAGATGCCAAACCCTATCGAAGCGATGGGGAATAGGCCCAGAGTAGTAAATCAACCGGCAACTCAACCAATGATGCAGCATGCAAGGCCAGGCTTGGCTCAACAACGAGCTAAGTTATTGCAGCAGCAGCAGCAGCAGCAACAGCAGAATGTATCTGCCAGTATGAATTTCACAACAAACCCATCAACCGCACAACCAAAATTACTTCCTGGTCTACCAGTAGCTTCGTCTGCATCACAACCAAACGTTACCATCAAACCATTGTATGATGTAAGCCATTCTTTTTGTATTATGAAATTATATTTTCACTTCCAAAACCGGGCGGCTGGCAGTCGTCGACGAGATTCTAGGGAGAATGCAATGCAGGCAAAACAACGTAACTGACATTTTTGTCGATTTTGAGATAATATCATTTGGGAATATATTAAAACACATCTGAATGACCTGTGAACATTTCAGGTCTCAATAATGAGTTGTTTCGGAGATAGCACCACCTACCTTTAAGCACAAAACTTAAAATCTAGTGATTTTTCGTTGGCAAAACAATGTAACTACAAGATTACGTGGCAAAACAACGTATCTACGATGAAGATACATTGTTTTGCCTGGGAAAGGTATTATTATGAGCTGATGGAGTTTAGCAAGGCAAAATCAAATGGTTATTGGTGTTTTCATATCAATAATCTTAACAGCAATGTATGAACAAGCTAGGTATAATGCATGTAATTGTCCCAAACTTGATAAATTCCAAAAATATATTGCTTTTGCAACAATACCGCACCTGACGTGTTTCCGAGGCAAAATAATGTATCTGTAATTATCGCTAATAACTTTGCAATAAACAAACGGTTGTATTTAAAATTTTAAATATAATCGCAATATCTATAATTTGAAAAGGGTACGGCAATTTATTGCAAAGTTGCGAACATGTAAACTTTAACTCTATTTTTCTCCAAAAGTGAAAATTTCAAGTACCGGTGTGTTTTGCCACGGAACGGCCGCACGATGCGTACGCAACGGAGCGTTCCTAATGACAATCTGTTCAGACTGCTACCGGCAGTGCACAGTTTTTTTGTCAAAGAAAATTTGATGGTGTGGACAGAGCTTAACTAGTTGTAACAAAGCTAATTCCCGAAAATATTGCTGCTTCTATGCTTTTGTTTGCGTTCCAACACAGCTCTGACTGTCCCCCGTTGCAATCTCTATAATGATCTCTTTCTATGCCGTCGGTAGTATTGACAAAATCACATTTCTCACATAATTCGCTTGATAGGGTTACAGTATTGAATTTAGGATCATCATGATTCAAAATTAAATAACACATGATGAATGTGAACACCGATTGAAAGGCAAGATCATGCACAAAGCATACTTTGTAACATCTTGCGACGATTTTTTACTAGTCTTGGAGAGGACAATAGGGACAGAGGTCAATTTTTCTGTGTTGGGCAGGCCTGGACCTCTGTAGTCCGGAGCCACTTTGAGATCTTCAAAAAATATTAATTTGCTTTAATATCCAAATAGAGTGTTTTTCGAATTTGCTGACAGCAATTGCTGTAGAAAGGGCCTTCCACTGCTGTCGTAAATCCCAAGATCGACAGCAAGCTTTTAGCTGTCGAGTTGCTTATTCCTAGGACAGGACCTAGGAACGGATTTTACCCTTAAAAATAATACAAACCTGTCTCTTATACACATCTAGAGGTGTATAATTAAACACGTCTGAATTACCTGTGAAAATTTCAGGTCTCAATAATGAGTTGTTTCGGAGATAGCACCACCTATCTTTAAGCAAAAAACTTAAAATCTAGTGATTTTCTATGGCAAAACAATGTAACTTCAATGTTACATGGCAAAACAACGTATCTACGATGAAGATACATTGTTTTGCCTGGGAAAGGTATTGTTATGAGCTGATGGAGTTTGGCAAGGCAAAATCAAATGCTTATTGGTGTTTTCATATCAATAATCTTAACAGCAATGTATGAACAAGCTAGGTATAATGCATGTGATTGTCCCAAACTTGATAAATTCCAAAAATATATTGCACTTGCAACAATACCGCACCTGATGTGTTTCCGAGGCAAAATAATGTATCTGTAATTATCGCTAATAACTTTGCAATAAACGAACGGTTGTATTTAAAATTTTTAATATAATCACAATATCTATAGATATACAATCCTGTAAAATTTGAAAAGGGTGCGGCAAATTATTGCAAAGTTGCGAACATGTAAACTTTAACTCTATTTTTCTCCAAAAGTGAAAATTTCAAGTTACGGTGTTTTGCCACGGAACGGCCGCACGATGCGTGCGCAACGGAGCGTTCCTAATGACAATCTGTTCAGACTGCTACCGGCAGTGCGTGCCTGGCTTAACAGCAAGTATGCATCGTAGGCTGCTCAAAAGTTAGAATCCAATAACCAAGCCATGTCTACCCAATCCATATGAAGATGAAATGTAAAACTCTGTCTATCAAATTTTATTTGACAAAAAACATGTGACATGCCTGAATATGGTCATGATGACATCACATCATGACCATATATAGGCACATCATGACTATATATAGGCACATCATGACTATATATGGGCATATAACAGTTTTTTTGTCAAAGAAAATTTGATGGTGTGGACAGAGCTTAACTAGTTGTAACAAAGCTAATTCCCGAAAATATTGCTGCTTCTATGCTTTTGTTTGCGTTCCAACACAGCTCTGACTGTCCCCCGTTGCAATCTCTATAATGATCTCTTTCTATGCCGTCGGTAGTATTGACAAAATCACATTTCTCACATAATTCGCTTGATAGGGTTACAGTATTGAATTTAGGATCATCATGATTCAAAATTAAATAACACATGATGAATGTGAACACCGATTGAAAGGCAAGATCATGCACAAAGCATACTTTGTAACATCTTGCGACGATTTTTTACTAGTCTTGGAGAGGACAATAGGGACAGAGGTCAATTTTTCTGTGTTGGGCAGGCCTGGACCTCTGTAGTCCGGAGCCACTTTGAGATCTTCAAAAAATATTAATTTGCTTTAATATCCAAATAGAGTGTTTTTCGAATTTGCTGACAGCAATTGCTGTAGAAAGGGCCTTCCACTGCTGTCGTAAATCCCAAGATCGACAGCAAGCTTTTAGCTGTCGAGTTGCTTATTCCTAGGACAGGACCTAGGAACGGATTTTACCCTTAAAAATAATACAAACTGTTGATTGTTGCTGTAGAAGAAGAATAAATTGCTGTATGAAAGCGATAGCCCACAGCCACTACTTGCTGCTGGTGGAGCATTTTGAGGAAATTCCAACCCTGTGATTACCCTAATATTGTGGTTTAAAGCTCAGTTTTTGGCATATTAAAGCCATAAAATCTCTCTACTAAGAATCCACCTGGATTATATTCAGGGACCCTGACTGAGGCTCTAATCATTACTCTTCATCAGATATCCCTGTCAGATTCCACCCAACTTTTAGTCTGCTAAAGCTAACTGATGCAGTGTAAATCGACCTCTAAATACTGATGCAGTATTTCATTGGTCTATTCTTGTAATTGGCACCAAGCGACAGTCCAGTCCCGTAGGTTTTTTTTAAAGACTTAGTGTGAGGGCCAAAAATTAATGAATCGCATTTTGTTATTGTATTTTACTAAGACATATACAACATTAATTAAAGAATATAGACAGGAAATTGTAAATTCAAGTTCAGACATAAACTGGATTTTTCTTGTCTGTGTAGGCCAACACAGTGGTTCCCCAGGGAGCCCAACAGGCTGCAGAAGCTGCCCTCATCACGGCTCGTACACAAGCAATGGACTGGCAGAACAGGCGTGAGTTGCTATCTAAATTTATTGTCATATTTGTATTGTTATGACATATTTTATAAAAGCAAATTTTAAAGTTGATTTATATACATTAAAGGTCTTTTCAGGCACTTTCTTGTAAAGCCATTTTTCATAAATAATAGGAAATTCAACTAGAATTTTATGGGGTTTTTTTTAAATGTTTAGAGGCAATTTTCTCAAAATGTGTTTTTAGACATCTAAATTTGAAAGTGATCTTACTCTTATAGAAACTTGATTTTGAAAGACTATTGAGCTTTATAACTTCATCTCTATATATTAATTGTTCATGTTTTGTATTGAAAGGCTAATTTGTGACACTACTTCACAATTAGTTATAAGGCAACACATGGAATTTTAAAATGTGGCCATAGATATCTTGGAAATGTTTTAATAGTTATAAAAGAATTTTGAAAGTTCCCCATGGAAAGGTCATAAATCGAAAGGTCCACTGGTTAATCTCAGATAAGAAAGTTTAATACATACTCAATAAATTGAAATGCATGCCATTGTTTTGGGATTCAATATTTTGACATTAATCATGTCATTATCATGAATGATTCCTGATTATGACATTAATGTTGAAATATTGAATCCCAACATGATGGCATGCATTTCAATACTTGGCGTATGTACAGGATTATACTTTCTGAAAGTTTTTTTTAAAATTGTTCATAGGAAAGTAATAGAGTTTAGATTATTGGTGAGAGAATAATCAAATGTAAGAACCATTACAAACATTGTATTTTATAACATTCCACATCTAAACAAGTCCTAAATGTTATATTTGAAGCTGCAACGAACAACCAGCCAAACATGCCGATGCCAAACTTTCCTCAACCGACTATGAACCCTTCCCAGCAGCAGCAGGCGCCAAACATACCAAGACTACCGACAGCACCAGTGATGAAGCTACCAGGTGTTAGACAACCGATACCAAATGCACAACCAACCCAGATGGCAACCAAACCAATGGTAACTAATGAAATATTTCTTTTATTTTTGTAGATGGATTTATTTTATTTATAGAATGGTGGTATTTATCAGTATCTCTGGAATTCTTTTGTCCTGGTTTGTCAACATAATACAATTTTAGCAATTACAAAATCAAAGATAAACCCCATCTCCAAATTTTTAGTTGATATTCTGCGCCTGGTTGTAGCGTGTATTTACAAAACCAACAATAAGTAAATTAAAATATTATAATCCCAAACAATTTCACTGAAAATAAACAAGTTGTAGCAAAAATTGAATTTCAATTTACTGGTATTTTTTATGTAATTGTGGGTGGTTTTGGTCTGTGACTGCTTAGCTGCCGTAAAGAGGCACTTATTATAGCTACAGGTTTACATCATTCCACAACAACAGGGACTGAAATGAACCATAGCATCGTGGTAAACCTCTACTTTTTCCAAAGATGCAATGAGTTCACGAGCCAGATGTGTACACTGGACCTCCTTACCGCTCAGCCACTTGACTCTCCACCAGTAATCTTTCAAATGAGGGGTCATTAATTAAAATTAGACATTTCAAGCCTTAGTTATTTTGGTCACTCCAGCAGTCAGGATAAAGGTGGTTTTGAGTAAATCCCCTTCTAAATTTATAATTGTATACAATTTTAAATCAAACTAACTACCAAAAAGATGTGAAATAACTGGTTTTTTGATCATTTCCAGATTTAAAACATAATTAACTAGGTATAGACTGTTGATTTATAGTGAAAAAAAAAAACAAAAGAAATACACAGTTTTGATTTCTAGGCCATTTAAAAAAAATGTATTTTAAAACTCATTTACTCTATACTTGCCTGTGTAATAACTTTGTCTAACGTTCCTCAAACATTAGTATCCTGGTGAAAATGTAAAATACAAAATTTATTATAAAGATAATGTTTCTCTTGTATTGTTTGTTTTCAGAGAATTGGACAAATTAGGAATATGTGGAAAGGAGTGTTGGAGTGGAATGAGGTAAGGTCAAATGTCAGTATCAATTTATGAGTGAATTTTATATTTACTAGTACATGTGCCAAAAGTATTTAGGGAAGATGGTAAAACAGGAGGTGGGAAGCTCCCTTGAAAAGAATGATGAAGAAAGAAAATTATACTGCTATAAAACAGAAGTTATTATTAATCATAAATTTTGAATGGAAATGCTAATTGCTTTATGTTATATTATTTTTTTAATTATTATTTGGTTTATTCAATATATTTAACTGCTGTAGTAAAAATTAATAATTTTGATTATAATTGGAAATGACCATTTAAAGCTTGCTATAAATGTGTGTATCTATACTTTGTAGTCCATTAATTATTCTTTTTAAAAAAGCTAAGGAATAGAAGTATATAAATTGCACATGTTTCCAATTTAAATTTTAGAATATCTAAGAAGAAATGTTTTGTTGTTTTTCTATTCTATCACTTCCTGTTCGCTTTTCTTTTAAACAATTTTCAGTTTCAACCATTATTCATGTTTTTCTTCTTTTTTTGTTGTTTTGAAGAGTACATAGGGACGAATGTTATGCTCTATTACAAGTGCACAACCATTGACCATTACTTTATGAAATTAGGAAAATTGTCGAAAATATCATTAAAAACTCGGATTTGGATTTTTCCAACAATATATTTATTTCCTACAAGTATTTAAATCTTGCAAACCTATACAAAGCAATACAATGATTTTGTAATTATTTTGTACAATAGCGGGCAAGAAACGCTCAAGAATCGAAAATCACAAGGTCGTTGAACTGTAACGTGACGAGTCAGGATGACTCGGTCAAGATGAACAATTGGCCGCAGAAGCTAGTCATGCAGATTATACCACCACATCTTCTTGTAAGTATAGTAAGCAGTTATGGTGAATTTTTGAGGGGACAATTGGAAATAAATCTTCACAAAGCCACGCCCCTTGGATATTGTTGCTAAGGTCCCTCAAAATGAGAGTGTAAATGTACATATAACAAACTGTGTGTTGGTGGGAAAAGTGCATATTCCCAGGGATCCCAAGTTGTGAAATTCAAATCCTGGAGAATTTGTCATGCAGGACAGGCAGAGGTTTTGGACGCATGTACAAGCTGAAATGCATGTACAAAGACACAAGTGTACACATCTATCGCCATGTTGAAAACAAAGAGGCTCGGGCAGGTTTAGGGCACTGTTAACACCTTTTACTGCCTATAAAATGTTCAATAAATCTTATGTCTGCCTTTATTTAATGCACAAGAATGGGAAAATTTATCATAGCATAAGCTCTGATTGTGAAAATCTCTTAAAGTCCTGGAGAAATCCAAGAGAAATTCAAATTCTTGGAGAAACTATGGAATTTTCCAGAGACCGGGAGATGAACCAGAATTCCTGGAGACTCCAGGGAAATCCGGGAGACTTTGGGAGCTCTGTATTCCTGGCCCTGTTCTAAATGGTCAGTTGATAAGTTTTTGTATTCCTGGCCCTGTTCTAAATGGTCAGTTGATAAGTTTTTGATTGAGACTGGAAAATTCAACAGCGCACCTAAGAGCCATTTTTCCCAACAAAATTATTTGAAGGGACCCCCCAGAAACAATTTCTTACTATTTTTTTGCTGATAAGATCCCAGGCACCTAGAAAAGCAGTCCATTTTGGCCCATTTTATGCTGCTGTGAGACATTTTAAACATGTATTGCACCAAAAAAACTTTTTTTTCCAAAGAGCTGATCAGTGGCTTGGCCTGACTGACGAGGGCTCTTCTCCCTTTCTTGCTGACACCACAACTTGAACAAAGATTTATATGTCAGATGTTGACGTAACTTTGTTGTATTGTTTTTTGCCAACTGAACTCAGGTCACTGTTAAGCAATAATTTGTATGTTTGTTTTTTTCTCAGACCTCATTACGGCCGTTGATTGCAGCTTCCAAGCAGGTTCAGTTTAACTTTCCTCAGGACAATGACCCAGAAGCACTGAATGCGCTCAACCGTGTCATGCCTACTGGATTTGTAAGGAGATACTTTATTATAAAACAAGCATTTTGTTGTGTAAAGATTTAACTTGATTAATGCTACGCTAGCATTACTCATTCTGTGACATGCTTTAAAAGATTTGCCTAAAATTGTCAGAACAGTAACCACAAGTTATATTTTTCACTATAAATATTATTATTGCAGGTACAGTTATTATTAATTATTGTGATTGACACTTGTTTATTTTATTTTTATATACATAATGCTTGCGGTACACCAATTAGATAGTTATGAAGAGAACTGTTGTTGGTTGAAAACGTCTCAACATTTCGATTGAGTTGCTTCAATCATCTTCAGGATAATAATATTATTCTCCTGAAGACGATTGAAGCAACTTAATTAAAATGTCGAGACGTTCTCAACCAACAACAGTTCTTTTCATAACTATCTATATGGTGTACCACAAGCACTAATATACTGTATATTATCACTATGCCATGCAAACCTTCAAACAATATCTTATCTTTAAAATTTTGTTATTTTATATATAAAAACAAAAATTAATATTACAATAACTATTATCTGAAAAGTGTCTTTTTTTTGGGTAAAAATTTTCAAGATGTAAGACAAAAAACTGTTTTCTTTAACCCTCTCCCTCCCCCCAAAGATTACATAATAATGATGTCATTTTGAAATCATACATTTTTCATTTTTATACCAAAATTATATAAAATGATAACCTCCCTCCTTAGTGTATGCTTAGTACTCTAATTGATAACTTCTAATGCAGAACACAAAATTGAAAGTATTTTGTTCATTATATTGTAGGCCGGATGCGTCCATTTTGAGCAGCGGGTTGGACTGGTGGGGCAGCAACGTGTCACTGTTCTTATGTTATACTATGTGGTGCAAAAGAAGCAGTTTATTGGCGTGATTCCCAATGACCAAGCACGCTTCATTCAGGAGTTTAAGAACATCGTGTCGAGGCATAAGAAAGGTAGAGACAATGTAAGTAGTAACGTTTACATTTATCGTTTATATTTGCACTGAACTGTGGAGAGATGCATTGTTGACATTTGACTCCCTGTTCAAATCCATCTACTTTTCTCGTAGCTGGAGGGCTGAAAATAGTATAACTAGGCACGTTCAGACGAGTCAGAAGTAAGCTTTCAAGTAGCAGTTTACTTGTCATAAACCCTGGGTAGTGCCCGTGAAGACGCTCATTCTATTAAGTTACTTGAATGTTACAACAGACGATTTACTCCTGAGCGTGCCGTGTAGATGCACTTACTTCAGAGCTCTCAAGTGAATACGACCTTTCTTTTGAACTCGAAAGATACAAATGAATGCCAAAATAACATTTCCTGTGATGAGTAAACCTGTTGACACATTTTCATAATTGTTTACAATTTCAAGAATTTGTGTGCAAGATAACTGTTGAGAGACAACGAAAGTGAGGATTATCACTTCCGGAAAATGTGTATAGTTACTTCTAAGCTCTGAATCAAACAGAACATTATTTTTTGTGTAAGCATCGTATGAAAACTCATCGGAAGTACTGTAACACGCGCATAAAATTTACTGCAGATGGAAGGCCATCTGAACATAACTTATGTTAAATATAAAAAAAAAATAAAAAAAGTAAAAATAAAAATATTGTAATTACTTGCACTTGAAAATATTGGCTACTGGGCTGAAACCTTCAAATGATAATGGACCTTTCTGGAATGTCAATGAAATGTAGCTGACCAATCAGAATGCAGGAATATATGTGTGTCCAACAAACACATGTTGTGTCCTACAAAACACGTTTTTTGTTTAAGTTATGCTCTCTTTTTGTGAGATCTTAGCAATGATTACCATGGTAATCAAGGAGTGGGGCTTTGCCGGAAGGTCCGTTTGGCCTGTTAAATGAAGATGCAGAGGATAAAAGTGATAACATGTTTAAGCCAGTGCTCCTGTGTGCATTACACTCTCAGAAAAGGGTTGGGTATTGTCATCTGGTGTACAGTCCAGTCACTACCAGAAAGACCCAGCTGGAAATAAGTCTTTAGAATCTTGTAGGTTATCCTCAGTTTTCGCACCAACCCCAATTCAAATTTGTAGTGAAGCACATGTATTTAGTTTTTCATTGACAGTGTTTCCCACTTCATGTAAATGAGAAAATTGTGTTTGCTCACCTAAGTTTCTAGACAAATTTTTTTTTTTACTCAGTGTTTTTTACTGCATTTGTTAGAATATCATTGAGATCATAGATTTTATCTCTTAAGTTCTTCTCTGCTGTGTATATATTTTTTGTTTATGTTATATCCTGTAATATGCTCCGGAGGGAGACATTTATATAGTAACTTCTTTGCATTATAGCAGTTTTCCAGATTTGTGCGTGATGTATTTAAACTATGTACAGTACTGCAGTTGTAAATATATGTAATATCTGAAATATAAAATACTTTATATTGACTTGAAATGTGGTATTTAAAGGAGTTAAAAAGTTCAATTTGTATTGATATACCAACAAAAATAATACTTTTTTTTGCACAATGTTAAAATGACAATTTGTTTTTTGTAGATTTGTAATAAATAAATATACTTATTTTGCAGCCTCAGCAAGCCGGAGTACAGCAGCAGTTACAACCAGGTCAGATGGGAAGGCCTGTTATGACGACATCAATGAATGCCAACCCAGCTATGACAATGCAGCAACAGCAACAGCAGCAGCAACAACAACCGCAACAAACACAACAGCAGCAGCAAACACAGCAACAACCTCAGCAAGCACAGCAGCCAGTTAGAAACATTCTATTATTTATAATATCATTACATGTTGCACATTTTTTTTTTCGTTTTTTTCCCCTTATTCTGTGGTGTTTTGTATTCCAATAATGTAAATAATACTTTAATCTTCAAACAGAAATGTTAGTGACCATTTATAATATTGACCATTTTAAAGTGGTTATGTAACTGCTTTAAAGTTAACATTCATGGTATTGTCCACTGCAAAGTAGCCATTCATAACTATTACCATGTATAATTGGCCAATGATCACACATAAATGAGCAAAATAATCATGTACATTGAGCATAATAATGACCATTCAAGAGTGGCCACTCATGACATTTACCTCTAAAAACTGATCATTCATTATATTGACCATTTCAATGTGACCATATAATAACCACTTCAAAGTGACCATTTAATGACCAATTCACAGTAATTATAATTGTGACCAGCTTTGGCAAAATCCGCTCTTTTTTGCAATTTGTGATTTTGAAGAAGCACCCAAAAAGTCAATTTTGATTATTTTCAAGTTTTTTTTTTTGCATTTTAGAACAGAAGATATATTTAAGAACATTCTGCACAATATCAGTTAACTAAAAAGTATAGTAAAATTACTTAAAAAATAAAAATCTAATAATAAACTATTGATTTTTATTTTTTTTTTTTATTTTTTTTTTTGAATTTCCATCAAATAAACACTATTTTTAAGAAGCTTTGATGCAGAATATAAAAATACCATTTAATCTGACAAACAGCTGGTTTGTCTGATAAAGAGTCGATCACAATTATTACCACTGAAAAGTGGCCATTTATTATAACAACCACCTAATTGACCAAAGACTACCAATTTTCACCAAGAGGTATTACTCAGGGGAACCTCCACCTCCACAGTCTGTTATTTATAATAAATTCAGTAGCCTTTGGCCATTGATTAGCAAATGTGTTTATTATTCAATAACATACATTACTTTAATAATAATTCCTCTAACCACTGTCTCTCTGTTTTACTTAGCACTTTAGCAATGCAATTAACCAGAAAATTTTCAATAACCAGGTAAGATCATATTCACATTGGTGTTTGATTCATTCATTATTTGCAACTTTTAACATCATACTATTTCACCTGTGTATTTCCTAGTGTCTTGAATGCAATGATAGTGCTTATCAGTTACTTGATTAATGCATTTTGTTACATTCACATTGTTATATTCAGCCATAGTGGGATGAATAAAATCTCATTGGATCCTTGTATCCTTGTATATAAATTCCTAACATTAATAAAAATATCATAATATTTTTTACCATAGTTGAACTCAGACTATGGATTGAAAGTCAACCATCTTGAATGCCAAACTAAATATGATTTAATAACATCATCAACATCTTCATCATCATCTTCGTTATTCATCATCAACAGTACCTATATAATCTTTTTGTACTTTATTGTTTTTAACACTTTTTATATATTTTTATAATTGTTTTTGTTTATGCGGTTGTTAAAAGCAGTGAATGGTTTCAGCTCTGTATTTTCTTTTGGACAATAAAACTTGAATTAATTGATCATCATAATTTTCATTTTTTTGTCAAATTTATTTATAAAAAAAAGTGTTATCTGACTTCTGAAGTTTGTGCACGACATTATCAAACCCGGTTATGCCCATATACTGTATAGTCATGATGTGCCTGCCTATATATGGATAATGTGATTTCAACATGAACATATTTACATGGCACATGTGTTTGTCAAATAATGTTTGATATTGTGAACAAGGCTTAACAGACGTGGAAGCAAATTATTTGTCTGATCAGATGTCTAAACTAACCATACACTATCAGATATAGTCAGATCAAGCATTGATAACTCTGAGAGACAACAATCTCAAAGTGATTCTCTGTCTTAATTATCAGGCTTAGGTAAGGTAGGACTCTGTAAATAGAAATTACTAAACATATTGTTTGAATTATTAAACAAAAAAAGGGCAGCGCATTGATACTAAATGTGGATGTTATTTATTTCAGACTTTATTAACAAAAAATATGTATATGTTTTGTTTGTTGACCTTTAGATGCAAATTCAAGAATTAGAAAAGAATCTGGCAGCTGCACAAGCCCAGAATCAACAGTTGAACCAGATGAAGCTTCAGGTATTAACATAGCTCTTTTTACATTGTCAAGTTTTATGTGACAAATATCTAAAATTTTCCATATATGGGCATGTTATATACACTCCAATATATGGGCAAATGACAGGTATATGTCGCCAACTATATGGTGTGGTCAGAGATTTAGGATTTGCTTCGTACTTGTTTACCACTAACTTCAGGTGTGTAGATCTCAGACTTATAATAACAACAGTAACTTTTTTTAAAGTGCATATTAAAGTTAAGACGTACATTTGCCACAAGCACTAGAGAACAAAAGATATGCTTTTAGTAAAATCTATTAATAGAAGTCTTAATTGTGTATCTAAAAGAATCACATCAGTTATTTAATTCCAATAAAACATGGTTCAAAACAAATTAACAAAGGTCATTTGCAATTTTTAATATAAACATTTACTTACCACCCTGGTGCATTGAATACCTTTAAACAGTTGCTTTATAAATTTCATATAATTACTGTATTATTATTATATGCATTTTTCCTCTTAATTTACAAAACAAGAGGCATACACAATACAAGAGGCTTTTATTATTATTGTTTTGATCATTGTAATTGATATTTATTTGTTTACTGTTTTTTTATTGGGATCACCTATTTTTGTTTAAACATTGTAGCAACAACAACAACAACAGCAGCAGAAACATCAACAATTGAAGCAACTTCAGCAGCAACAGGTCATGTTGCAACTGCAAAATATCCAGCAACAGCAGACACAAAATCAGATACAGCAACAGCAGCAGCAGCAACAACAGCAGCAGCAGCAACAACAGCAGCAACAAATGACACAGCAAGGAATAGCAGTAGGAGGTCAGGGTTCAGGTCAACAGCTTCCATCTAATAATCCTCAGCTACGTCATCTTCTGATGAACCAAGCTCAGTCACAGGTACTGACATTTGACCGTATTTTATCCTTTTTATTGTGCCATATTTAGTAATGCCCATCTGCAGCACTCTATTACAAAGTCAGGTACTTGAAGTCCCATTGGAAGACACCCAAAGTTAGGGCAGTAAAATATTGTAATTCATGGTTTTTACTATTTAATTTAGGGTAACTGCAATGTGATTTTCCATAGTTGTGCTCTATGACAACACTTATTTAAGCCATATTTACAGTCCCATGTCAAACCACCAAATTATATGGAAGTGGAATTTTAGTTGTCTTTTTTTCAACATTGATATTGATAAATTTTGTTTAGAAGAGGCAGTGGCGTCGAGAGTGGGGGGGTCGGGGCCCGAGTCTACTGGGGGCCCCGGACCAAGATGAAAAATTTTCGGGGTAAGAACAAAATCTCCATAGGGCCCGAGCCCAAGCCAGGATGAAAACTTTTGTTGTCAGATTTAGGAGCAGACTTAATTTGGGGAGCGGCCGAGTGGGGGTCCCAAGTGAAGGGGGGGGCATGTGAGGTGTTGCCCGGGGCCCTTACTGGCTCTCGATGCCACTGAGAAGAGGAAGTGTCCATCAAAACCCACCAACATGGTCATTTCGTGGGTGAGCACATTTTGCATGACCCCAAACACTTTCTCTCCCCAGGCCCCATGATTATTCGTTTTACCACTGCTCCATATTTTTTTTTTCCATTGTTTTAACTTTTAACATTTTTCTTGCTTTATAGGCACAGCAACCACAAGCGTCTGTTCCGAACCAACACGGATGGTCTTTGTCACAACCGCAACAGCCACAACAGCAGCAATTCCAAAGAGGACCGGCACCCTCTATGATGATGCAACAACCAATGCAGCGACAAAATGTAAACCAGCCAAATCAGATGGCAATGAACCAGAATATACAAATGAACCAGCCTGGAGCGATGATTGGGGATGATCTCAGCATTATTGACTTACTGAAATAGTTTATTGGACACATCAAGGTTTCTTGTATGTGAGTGCAAGAGAAGTGCAAAATATTAAGAATAGTGGTTGTGAGATTTAAAGAAATTGTGTGAGATTGGTATGATTTTGTGAGACATAATTATGATTGTGATAGGAAATGGTTTGTAAGAGGTAATGGTTGTGATATTGATGATAGTTTCTAAAGCCAGGCACACTCTCTACTCTATTTGTGAGCGCATGGTGATGCAATTATGTCTACTGATTGTCGGTAACAGCCTGACCAGATTAATATTAACATTCTCATTGGGCCTTTCCGCTAAGCCCCTCCCCTTGGATATTGTTGTTAAGGTTCCACAATACGACATTGTTAAAACATACGCGAACATGTGCGTTTGTGGGTCATCACTTGTGTTTGTGAGATGCACTCGTATTCCTAGCGCTGTTCTGGTTGTAGTCCATTATTAAATTTGATTGACACCTTGGAAAGGTCTATTGTGACAGCCTACGACCGTTCCTGCAGTGTTTGCCCGGCTTTAGAGTTAGTGATGTGAGATAGGTAATGGTTTGTAAGAATGATAATTGTTTGTGAGATATTTTATGAGATTGAGTGGTTTGTGAGATTTACAGTAGTTTGTGGCATCGGTGGATGTCCCTGAGATTAATTATGATGTATATAAAGTAATGGTTCACAGGAATGACAGTGGTTTGTAAGAAAGTTATTTGTCGTGAGAAAATTGGGGGAATTTGAGTTGACATTGAGAGTAAAATTTTGAGGGCCATAATAATCCTATGCCTTTGTTTTTAAAATTGAACAGTGATTCTTGCTTTGAATGTCAGTGGTGATTCCATAAAATTTGTCAACAAATCCGAACTAAGTAGCTGCCTAGGGCCTCCGGCCACAATGGCAGAGTAAAACCATTGCTTGGAGAGATTTTATGGGTTATGAAGGTTAAAATTGTGTTTTTTGTAAACCACATTATCACAATCAGGGGGTCCAAGGCTGTCCAACTGTGACAATTTTCCCCTGAACTCAGCAGGGGCCACCCCTTGGACACATACACCTGGCTAGTACCGTGGTTATTTATGTAAGTCACTCCGTTCAAGATAGAGTATGTCAAGTACAGTAAATTGGTTGAAAATATGTTATTGAATTTTGTATTGTGGACAGAACAAGGGAATATTTTTGTAGAGGTCAACCAGAACTTTATCTGTTTGATTTTAATAAAAGGAGATATGTTTTTTTTCTTCTGGTAGATTCTGTATATAATTCTTGAAAGATGATGTGATGTGATGTCATTTAATTTTACACAGAAAAAATTAACGTATACTTAAAAAAATATACAGTAGATGTAAAACATAAATAAATAGCATGAATGATTTGTGAAGATGCCATAAAACAAACATTTGATTTTATTTTTCATTTACAACCATTGTTGGATTACATCTGAGAGCACATGGATTGGGTTGTAATCAAATCCCAATCAAAATGGATAATATTTTTGTCTGAATAATGAAATAATATTAGAAACAGTTTATTATGGAAAGATTTATTGTGCTATTTGCAATAATTATTTTTAGCTGCAATCTCACAGAGTTTTAATGGTGCTGGTAACCGGTACTAAAGTACCCAGTATAAAAGGCCACCCTGTGTTAAGTGTATTCCAGTTTCTATGAATTTGTATCCAAGATGCTGTAGTGAAGTATAAGCCTACCCTAAAAGGTTTCAGATGGAAAGTTATGTGTACTTGACAGTATATGAAACAATTATGAAAATTTGTACTGAAATTTAGCATCAAAATACGAGCTAGGAATAACCCTTGGCTGACTAGTCCTCCATGGGTCCACGCTCAGGGAGCTTTGGATTTGTGCAGCAACGTGATGCTATAACAGATTCACTCACGCATGACCGTCCTGCATTGCCTGGACAGCATCGATTCATCGAACAAATTGTTTCCTAGAATCCAGGTGTCGAGAAATTAGTTCTCGCATGCACAGATGGCTTCTTAGTGACGTCATTACGTTATACTGCTTACAAGCGTTGTGCAATCGAAAGCTCTTTTATTAGGCATAAGTCTTACGACAAACTCTGACCTATCTTGTTTAACTGTGCTCCCCTTTTTTTCATATTCTGATTACCCCCTCCTCCCACTCTACTCGAATATATGTTGTGTTGAAGATGTACTGTCTTTCTAAGCTAAGAGAATTGAAAAATTCAATTCTGTATTTAAAATTGCTTAATTTGTATATTTAAGTAATGTGCAGTTAACAATTTTAATGAGAAAAACATTTCCCAAAACTGGTAAATAATAACTTTCCTGTAGCTTTTTGCACAGACCCTTAAAATAATTGATAATTTATTCATTAAAATTGTTGTAAGATATCTGTCTATATCTCTGTATATGTCATATGGGTTATGATATTTTCTTATAAAACGTTATAAATTCTGTAGGATTGCAGCTTTGACGGTCTAGAGAATTGTTAAGGTATTGATTTTATTTGTAAGGCTTGAATATTTTGGATAGATTTTGCCAACTGAACTTTGTAAATGTATAAAATCTTTGTACAGAAATAAATGGCTATGCTTGGCAAGATGAAAGTATGGTCAAATAACAACATTGTGCTTGATATGTATCTCATTCATGTTTTAATCTCATCTCCAGTGCTTTAGTACTGTTCTATCCCATACAAATGTTGATAGAACAAAATACCTGTATCATGGACACAGGTCAGAGGTGGCTATAGAATGAAATGGATTTAGGCCAGATTGCCGATATCCAGTTTGCCAAATGCCAGATTACCAAGCCCAGTTTCCCAAAATCCAGTGTTCCGTCTCAAAAAACCATGAAACCCAGTTTGCTGAAAGTCAATTAATAACATGGTAAAATTCACGATAGAGCATTTTCTTTTACCGTGACTGCATTTGTACGAAGTAGTGGCACCAGCGGAATAGAAATGGAATTTCCCAAGATTGCTTTAAAAATCCCAAGATTCGCAAAATATTTAAACATTTACAACTCCAATTTTAAGATTTTTTCATTTCATTCCATTTATTTTGTCTCAAATGAACACACAAAACAGTTTCAAACTCGGGAAGACTGGAAAGCTAAAAGTATACTAAAATACTGTCAATTGGCTCTCCAAACCAAAAGAGAAACAGGAACATAAAAGAAACATAAAATAGGAAAAGTTACTCAAAAAAAGAAATAACTCTAAAATTGATAAATAATTGATAAAAAAGCACAACAGATAAAAAAAAAATCAAAAGTTAAAATAACACAGAACAGACATTTTTATTTTTATTTTTTTTCTTGTCAAGGTTGTTGAGAAAAATGTTGCTATATACATATGATAATATTGACCTGCATTCTGTAAATGAACAATTAAATCACATTGTAGGCTGGTGTGATTTAAACATATTAACAATAAACGCAAATAAAACTAAGTATATTATTTTTCGTGGTAAGCACACAGTGGTCCAACCAAATGGTGCAATTTATATAAAAGGAGCACAAATTGATGAAGCAGAATCTACAGAATACATTGGGGTAACTGTTGACATACCTGGTATGGAAAGAACATATTAATAAGGTAAATAAAAGTATTAGCTCTAAAGCAGGCTTGCTTTACAAATTAAAGAATTTTATTCCTCCTTCAATTTTGTTATTGTTATATAAATGTTTTGTCTTGCCACACATTTCATATGCACTTGAAGTCTGGAGAAGTACATTATATGACACATTTAAAACCAATACACCTTACTCAAAAAAGAATAGTAGGCCTACGCAATATAACACATTGAGACAGATTAGCACACACATCATCACTATTTACAGAATTGGCAATCTTTAACATTTATAAACAATATGAATTTCAATTACTTATATTTGTTTATGACAGCATTAACCGCAGATTTCCTTTAACAATTCCCCAATATTTTTTATATGTTCAGCATTATCACATGACAAGGGCTCAAACAAAGGGGAATCTGACTATCCCAAAACATAAAAGTAATGTGGGACAATTCTCTGTTGGGTGTTCTGGTACTAGACTATGGAATGCGATTCCAGAATATATCAGACATGAATCAAAATCTGTTTTTAAGAGAGAACTAAAGTTATTTTTATTGAAGTCAACTTACCCATTATTTATATGTATATTTATGTAATCATGTATGTGCTATATATTTTCTTCGAAATGAATTTTTTGATAAATTTAATTTATTCTTTTGCTTTGAAATGGTATTTTTGGTATTTGTTAAGTTGAAAAAGTAATAATTTTGCCCTATATATAGAATTATGCAATTGTTTTACGTTTAAAGGGGCTGGACTTGATTAGTGTTTACACTATTTTCTAGCTCCTTCCTATATTGGTTTATGTATTTATTTGCATTTTATATTACTTATACTTTTTGTGAAATAAAGTTGAAGTTGAAGTTGAATTGAACAGCCAGAAATAGAACCAGAGTATTCAGACTTCTCTTTAAACTAATTGTTTAAAATTCAGTAGTTTAAGTTTATATTGTTGACAATTCTACAGTACAGTACCTCGAGTATTTGTACTCATTCATTTACTGTATTCATTTTCCTATATATTTTTGTATGTCTCTTGGATGCACCATGCATTGTGTATGATTGTCACTGTATCAAAAGTGGATCCAATAAATTGATTGATTGATTGAACACAGTATGAGATTGTTCGATTTCCTGGCATCTCCTAGGTGCAATATTATTGCTCAACTAAGCAAAGAGCGGCATATCCGCCAATGGGACATATATCAACAGATTTTAGGTTAAAAGTGCACACTATTATTTTGGAAAAGAATGAAAATGGCTCTAAACAGCAATGAGTTTATGAGTAAATGAACAGCCATCATTCACAACTATCAACTGGTGTTATAGTCCATTAGAATCACATCTGTTCATTTCATAGTAGATAAATCCAAGACTGTTTAATGAAAGGTTAACAAACAAATTACAGTGGTGGAAGCGTTTGAACGTATCTTACAACGCTGTGTGAGCGTTATTTTGTGATATCCTACCTAACCACAACTTTCGCGAGCGCGAACGTTATAATTTTTTATTTTTGATTGAGGAGAAATGGTGTGAAGACGTGTTTTTTGTTGTTTTTTTTTCTTTCTCTCTTTTTTACAGCGGAGCAAAAGCAGTTACCTGTTAGAATCAATAAGGTGGTAATTGTTACTATATCAACATAACTGCAATCAAACCTAGTATCTTTTGCCGTTTTCATTAATTATCTTTGAAAACTGAAAAAGGGGTTAATTATGGAAAGTGGAAACGACAAGGAAAAAATCACATACCACCTCAGATCCATAAGGGCGGAATTCACCGGAGCTGATACAACAGCCCAACCGTCGAATTCTTACTCGATCAAAAGCTCGACAGGATTATTGAAAAGCAAGAATCTATTGAAAAACGGGTGAAGAATTTACAAACCAGATTAAATAAAGTAGAAGGAAACACATAATTCGCACATTGTATATATTCAACGATCTGTGGAATTTATTGAGAAAACTGTGGAAGAAAATACAACTAAATACTCGGCGTCAAGTGGCATGAAAGGTAGATTTCTTTCTTCATAAAACAAAGTGGATGAACTTGGAAATAGGTCTAGAAGGAATATTATCGTTATCCATAATGTGCCCGAGGGTTATGAAATAAAAAAAGAAAATAAAAGGTGTGAAGAATTAATACTGTATTTTGTTGATCTCTCATAAGAAGTTAGAGGACGGTGAGGATATTGAAATTGAGCGCGCACACAGCAAACCTACTTGGACATATCGGAGCAAAATAACGAAAGGCTAGAAGCCTAGGCCAATTCACGGATGTCTATAAAACGAAGACCGAAGACTCAAAATCGAAGACCCCTTAGTATTTTTTCTTCTTTTTTTTTGATGATAATACGCCAGGCTGTCACAAAATCAAAATTACGATTTTTTTTGGGCGTCTGTTTGTGAAGTTTTCAAGGGTCTTCGTTTTATAGACACCCTATATTGGTGTCTACAAAACGAAGACCGAAGACCCGAAAAACCAAGACCTCCAATTATTTCTCAATTATCTTATTGAAAGTAAAATCATCATAAAATAATTGCCAAGTAAACTTAGATGAAAGAATTTCGCTTGGGATCCATCAGATTCGTAATCAGCATGGTCAAAATACCCAAAATCAACTGGATGCATTATCATTTTTTGGATATGGAACCTGTCTATATCAACGAAAGCCTTCATGACCTAGTTGGTACTTCGTTCGCTGTGTAAGCAAAAATGTCCGGAGTTCGATTTCTTTTGCAGATTGAGATTCTTTTTTCTTTCTTAAAAAAAATCAATTCTTCTATTTATAATTAATTGCATTATGTGGCTAGTTGTTTCTAGGTTTATCATATAATATGCCTATGAAATTATATAATATATACATACAGTACGTAATATATATTTGAAAATGATACTTATCCATCTCTTAGACATAAAGCTATTCGATATTAGTGTCTTCATATCATTAACTTGAATGAGATATTTAATTCACGTTTACATAAAATCATTGATGCTAAAAAACTCTCTATATACTTTTCACATTTTTCTTGATAGTTCTTTTCAATTTTCCTTTTTATATTCAATTTTTATTCCTTTTTGTTTCTTCCCTTTCCCTCATTTTCTTTTCGTTTCCATTCATTTCCTTTCCTTTCTTTTATTTTCTGTTTCCTTTCCTTTCCCTCATTTACATGTTTATATATCATTTGTAAATTATATTTAGCCATCGTATAGACATTGGATATTAGTGTCTTCATACTATTAACTGGAATGCAATATTTAATTTAATCTTTATATAATTTCATTCACGGTATTAAACTAGCCTTAATATAATAAGCGATGTTAATATCTGCATCTATCACTCTACCTCTGCTCAGACTGGTTTTTATACTGTTCCGAGCAGTTATATACTTATTTTTTAATTCCATTACGTTCGCTTGATTATCAATATTTGATTCCTTATTTATTACCTGTTTTTCATGATTTTTTGCACATTTCCGTTTCTTTCATTTACTTTCTGAATTTTTCTCAATATTTCTTTTTCTTTTCTTTTTCACTTTAAATTCATTTTCTATTATTTTTTATTCATTTATTTTTTCTGTTCATTTCTTTCCTTTCTTAAATTTTCTATTTTGTTTCTTTCTTTTCTGTATCTTTTCTTTTTCTATTTTTTCCCATTCTGTTTTCTTTCTTATTTTTACTTAAATATTCTTTATTTTTACTCTTCTTTCATTTTTTTCTCTTTTTATTCTTTCATATCCATTCCTTTCTTTTTCTTCTTTTCTTTTGGCAACTAATCTGAAATCCAGCATGGCAGTTGTCGGACTTCTTTTAAATGGTGCCGGAGGTCTTACTTAGATTATAGATAAAGGAAGTCAAAACTATGGAGGCAACATTGAAACCAATATGGTGCCAATATGAAATAATGTTTAATGATTGTATATCATATCCCTAACTATACATATATACACCATTTATTTACAGTTCTGGCCGCTCTACTTATGTAGTTATTCAAAAATTGTACATGGTATTCCTCTGACCATTCAGACAGGGTGTAGTGTGTTAAAAAT